AGTGGCACAGCGACATGTCTGCGGACTTACAACGCTAGAATTCGGGTTTCGATACCCGTGGTGGGCAGACCACAGATAGCCCTTTGTGTTGCTTTCTGCTTAACTTCAAACAAACCAAAGCAAACTGATGAAAGAATGCATTCTAATCTTTACAAATAGTAACGTAAGAAATGTACATTTAATTAGCTTTATTCCTTACCATGTTGATTCTTTATTTCATTCTAACTAGGTAGCTTGCATTAGTCGTTAGTTAATATTAATTCATACGATTTATTTTGTGATGGTGTGGCAAATCATAATAAACTGTTCCTCCTGCATGACTTCATTGTTTGTATAAAACATTTTCACGGTATTGGTTGAATAGCGTGGAAACTAAAACAGACCTTTATTATTCTATACTTTGTTTAACGCAAAATGGAGTTTATAACGAGACATTTCAATTAATGTAAATACAATAACGATCTATATCTCCAGAATGTACCTTTAGTATAATTTCAACTGGATTAGGGACTTTGTAGGTTATCGATACTCCTGACGAAGCTGTAATAGCGAAATACTGAATCAGTAAAGAAACATTTTATGTATGTAGGTCGTTATTTGTTTGCATTAATAAAACAGCCATTTCTCTAGTGCTATAGAAGAACGTTCTGTGGTTTAGTGAACCAGACCTTCTGAGATAAATATCAGTGTTTGCCATTGAGCCGTAACTAAAGTTTAAAATAAGCCTTTTTACATCCCTGAAAGCAACTAACGTAAAAAGTTTATCTCGAACTTGGGAAATTTTTATCAAGGTTATGCTTTTTATCTGGTTATTGTAACAATACAAAAATTCCGTATTGTTTGCATAAAACTATAAAATGTGGCCACATTTGCCAGGAAAATATTGATTGGACGAGTGTTTATTTGAATCACTACTATTTAAATATAAAATCTAAGCTTTACTTTTAAAGAACTTCAACGAGAGAAATTTGAGTTAACATCGTTTTTCAAACCTAAAACTGATAAATACTTCGAGAGCAGAACTCACCTGTTATTTAAACCTACTTCATGAAATTGGAATTTCAACTATTCCAAGAGATCTCTTAGCGTTAACGTAAACAACAATATCATTAAAACAACAAGGATTTTGAAAACTGCTTGTAGTGGAAACACAGTCAAAATTACAGTAATAGACTATTTGTCATTGTTACCATTTCAGCATGAGAAATACTTAATTGTACAATTGTTGTAGTTTGACTCTTAGTAAATGATGTCCGACAAAACTTCGAAATTTAACACCTTCTATGTCGAACTGATTCTTCGTATTTTCTGATAAAATTCACTTTACATTTTTAGCTTGCCTCTGTATTGTATTTAAATGTCAGGTGTAAGTGACCTTGTAAAAACTAGACAGAAACATAGTGTTTACATGTGTTATATGCTACTTTTTTATGTCTCACTTATGTCTCTCTCTTCCTCTTTTTACTTGTTCCACTGATTTGTTTAGTCCGGAAACATTCATATGACGTTCTCACAGCTATACGTATCGTCAACTAGTTGCATGCCATCATTTTCATCGGCTACTCTTTTGGTTACTTACTGCAATGTGTTTAATAAATCTGTTATATTTTACGATTTATGTCTTGGTCTAACTTGTAAACAAACAACCGGCTTGTAAGTCTCAAAATACAAAGAAATGATTCAAATCCCTGTAAAAGGAAAATAATTACATAGTTGAACTTTTGAACAAATGATCTTCAGATCTTATTATGTTGTATTGTTATTTGTTTGTTATTCGTGTTACTCACTTGTAAGACCTTGCAAGATGACTTAGAACTGCCCAGTCTTTCATACTGTGTTTGAATATCATTGTCTGCTTGTTCCCACCTAGCATTAACCACGTAATTCAGTTCAAGGTTATCTTCTGGACGATGGTCAAGTGATAATTTCGCCCATTCCTTTGACTCTTGATAACTGGCATGAGGGTGGAGATATTCATACGAGTCGTTAACCTGAAAATGCAAGCAACTGATAAATTATCAGTTTTTATCACAACATCAAAATATTAGAACTAATGTCTAGAAATAATTCTAGATTTCTTGTATTTTATAGTTGTAATAACAACTAAATGCAATACAAGTTCCATATTAGTAGAGTGACAACTTTTTTAACTACACTTAAGATATATTTATGACAAGTTATATTTTTTGTCAATGATGACATTACTGATATGATTTTCTAGCTTTATTTGTATGTTGTTCCAAAAAGCAGATCAGTTAAAGATATATAATATATCTCTCTTCGAAGTATGTTCGACTCATATACTTTACTTTTTATGGACCTTTCATACCTTTTCCTTTGTTTTGAAGAGTATTTATTGGAATCTACCCTAATGAAAGACTCAACTCGGAACAAAGAACACTGCCTCAAAAGCCCATAAAAGATACTGCTGTATTATTTAATTAGTTTTCAAAAGAAATTCATTGCAAGTTTAAGAAGTTTAACCAATACAACTAAATTTAGTGTTTCAATCAGAAAACGATATTTTAGAAAAAAACAATAGCTCCTTTGTGGTTAGAAGTTCTCTTTGAAAACCTGATTCGATGTAAAAACATTCAATGGAACAGTGTTGAAACTCATTTCAAGGTATAAGGGCCTGAACATAAAATATCGTATAGAAATATTAGAACATTACTCCTACACACAGAGAATCATGCAACTCAAATCTCAGTATAATATTCAAACAACTAAGTAAAGTAAAATATGAGCATATGAAGAACGTATTATAGCGATTTTTATATACAAACATATCATCTTCATCAATCGTTCTGTCATTACACTGGTTCGAGGCACAATTCTTCCCTCCATTTAGCTCTGTCTTCATTTGCTTTGTTCATTTGTCCACAAGTCCTTCTTTGTTAGGCACCATCTAGCATCATCATCCTTTTTCTTCCTTTTGATCTTCTCCCCATCGATCACCTCCTTCATCAGGCCATTCCCTCTCAACATATGCCCAAGCCAGGTTCTCTTCTTCTTCACGATTGATGGTACAAATCCACGTTCTTCTTCCATCTGGCATACAACTTCTTAATTTTTCTTTCTTTCAGTTCAACTTATCTTCATGACTCTTCGCAAATCTACAGTCTCGTTACGTCTTCCTTATGCATTGCACACATCTTGCATGCATATGTTGCCACACTCCAGATGCAACTCTTTATTATTCTGTGTTTTGTTTCCTCTCAAAATGTTTAATTAGAAGCTCATTTTCTTTTCTTGAGGTTTCTTAACGCTACATAAGTAGCAAAACTCTTGCACCTTTTTTAACTTTTTACTTTTGACAGTAATGTTTAGTTTTCTTCTTCTTTCCTTGACACCTTCATCCCTTTAGTCTTTTTCGTGTTTCTATCCCTTCTTCTGTGTTAGCCATCGCTCCCTTGTCATCTGCAAATCTATCCTCCAATCATTATTCCTTCAGTAAGATTTTTCCAAGGTTCTTCTGTAATTGCTTCTACAGAAACATTGAAAAGTTTTTGTGATAATATGCACCCCTGTCTTACACCTCCTTCGATTACTGCATCACCTGATTTACTTTTAACTATTCTCACTGTTGCTGTTTAACCAAATATTAAGTCACAATCAGCCTTTTATCTTTCCAGACCACTCCAGTTATTTCGAGTACATTGAACAAGGTATTCCAATTTACTCTATCAAATGCTTTCTCAAAGTAAATAAAACAGATAAAGCCTCTTGGTTAAGTTTCCGGCTCCTTTCATAGATAGTTCTCGTTACTTCTATCGCTACTCTTGTTCCATATCCTTTCCAAAACACAGACTGATCCATTACAATGCATGCCTCTGCTTTGTTTTCAATCCTTGACTGAATAATTTTTAATATGATTTTCAACTTGTGTGGTATAAGGCTAAATGTTTTGAAATCTGAGAGGTTCATTGCATTTCGTTTCTTTGGGATTGGTATCACTACTGATTTCATAAAGACTGGTGACCATTTACCCCTCTATAACATATATCTTGTTGCAGAATGTGGTCAAATCATTTATTGTATCTTCTTGTAATAGTTTTCTCGTTTCTGAAGGGTTTCCATCGATTCCCTTCTGCCTTCCCTTTCTTCATACCTTTAATTATTGCAACGATTTCACTTTCAAAAATAGCAGAACTCTTGTCTTCTTTGTCTATACTTTCTTTTTCTTCTATCTGAAGTCTATTTGACTTTCCTTCCTTATTATAAAACTTGTCAATATACTCTTTCCATTTTTCTTTGACTTTCCCGCTTTCTCTGCTTTTGTGATACCACTTGCATTAGCATGTCATTTTCTTTGATTTGTTTCACTTATTTATAAAGTAACTCCGATCTTCCTTGTCTGTTCAATTCTTCTAATTGTTGGCATTCCCTTTTCCACCAAGTTTGTCTTGCTTTACCTGTTTTTCTTCTCATTTCATTGTTATTTTTCCAGCATTCTTTTTGTCTTCTTTATTGCTATTCTTCCATTTTCTTCTCTCCTCCAGTTTTTATCATTTACTCTATTATCCAAAGTTACTTTTGTCTTCTATCTGTCTCTTTTCCGATGTTATTTGCTGCACTTAGGAACATTGTGTTTTTATAATGGTCCAGTGTTCTTGCACACTCAAATCCTTTACGTTACAGACTTCTTTTGTTGCATTGTTTATTCTTCAATCTACTTCTTGAATGCTACTGTCCTTTCAGTAAATCAATATTCCATCTTTTTTGAAGTTAATACCACTAAATTGTGATCAGAGTCTGCTCCTTGGTAGCTATAAGCATTTAGCACATTGTTTCGGTATCTCTCTTTGATTGTAATATCTATTTTGAATCTGTTGGGGTCATCTGGTTTCTTCCAAATATATTTTTATCTCTTTTTATGTTGGAACCAGTGTTTGCTATGCAGAATTTGCTCAAGCTGCAGAATCCAACCAGTTTTTCATCTTTATCATTTCTGGTCCCCAAACAATAACCACTAATCTCCTTACCTTCCTTCTCCTACAAGTGCATTCCAATCCCCCATAATGACCACACAATCATTTCCATTTTCTGCATTGATACTATTTTCCATTGATTCGTAGACTACATCTATCTCCTCTTCATCGTGGTCAGACGTCGTCATATAGACTTGAATGATTACTACGTCCACTGGTTAGGCTATCAGTTTGAAAAGTAACAGTCTATCACATCTACGAACTATCTTAATAGCACTCTGTGCTGTCTTTGTGTCAAGCAGCATAGATAACTCTTACCCCGTCACTATCAAAATCTCATTCACCCATCCAATACACTCTACAAAGTCCCAAAATGTTCAACTGGGTATGCAGCATCTCTTTCTTGACGTTTTCTAATTTCTCCACCCTCAACATCGTTCTTGTACTACATGTTTCAATCTCGATTACAGTTTCATTCTTTTTGCTCCTGTTTGTTTGTTTGTTTTAGAGCAAAACCACATTGGGTTATCTGCTGTGTCCACAGAAGGGTGGCTGGATGGGCTCAAGCCCCTGTCCTCTTGCCCTTATGCTCCAAAAGTAACATTTTTTCCCTGTAATAAAAATTGTCAAGAACTACGAAAAGATACACATGATTCCAAATCTTGCTGCGAGTTATTGGGAGTGAGAGGGGGGGGGATTTCAGCGTTAAAATGAATGGCACACAGGGACTTGTAGGTCTTTATAGAAAAATGTTTTGATACGTTATTAACTGTTAATACGCAATGGCTCACTGTTTAGTTTTAGATGATAAATATGTTTGTAAGACCAAATGAATAAAAATAAATTAAGATCTATTGCTTCTATTGTTTTTACCCTTTGTTTACCAGAGGCAACCCACAATCCCCAGTCTTACGATGTTTGAAAAGTGCCCTTTTTTTGTTAATGAAATCCTACCCTTTTAATGTTCTCTTCACGTTACTTTATTGTACTATATTCGTGCATACATTTCTCAATACATTAATATCTGAATTACAAAGAGAAATACATATTCATTTACAACCTTAACAGTCACATGCATTGGTGACTTGTAAATGTGTATGAAAGGCACTTCTATCGAAAACTGTAACTTAAGAATATCGTGTGAACAGGTTTCACACAGCCACGCAGGATGGCAAAGTATGCAACATAAACATAACACCACTTTCGGTTTGCCTATATCAAAACCTTGATGTTCTTGAAAAGAATAATAGGAAAATGGTTAATTTACTACGTTCGTTTCTGTAAACTGTTTAAAACTATAACAGTGAAACGACTATTCTTCCTATTTTCGTTACCAATTTTCCAAAAAATGTTTAGGAATTAACAGTATATACCCGAATTTAAAATCTGATTTCCAGCGTTATTTTATCCTTTTAACCTTCTCTGCCGAAAGTTGCCATTGGAAGATATGTAAAAATTGTCAATAAATACATAAACTTTCTAAAAACAAACTTGAAACTGAGAGAACGAATGATGTAACTAATAACAGATCCGTCTACAAAAGAATGTTAATATCGTGTTGTTCGACAGCATCAGGTTTTCGATTAAGGCCTAGTTAAGACAAAATTTCGAAAGAGGAAAGAGGCCTAACAATATATAACATGAAAATGTTAACAATGAAATTACTATCTATTTTGTTGACAGTTACCATATGAAATGTATCTTTAGAGATTTTATTTGTAACGATAACTTGAATAATTTTATTTTCTGTATATTTATTGTTATTCATACTTTTACAAAAACGTTGTGTTGTTTTCTAATTTACGTTGCATTCTGACGGATTAAAGATCTTTTTTAGCGTTCATAAAGTAAACAAAAATTTCATAAATAAATTGTTCTTCCATGCAGCTTTTACGACATCTATCAGTTCGACTGAATATATGAAAGAAATGTAAATATTCTTACATTAAAATGGTTTAAACTTAGTTCATATTGACCTCCAGATGTTGGACGTAACAGGTACCGATCTGCATGTTCAAAAGGAATTCTGACGTTATCGTTACTTCTCTTCTGCAGATGTAGGAACGTGGAGACTAAAATAAATCAAATACAAAAATAAAATATAGAAAAACAGAATACAGTTTGATTCTAAAGACTATTTAATTGTGCTTTGCCATCTCAAAAATGCTTAAAAAGTTTTTCCCTGGTTTTCACAAGTTAAAAATTGTTCAAGATTTAAAAAATGCTCATATATTATCTTAAGTATCTGATTTACAACGTATTCTCTGAGAGAGATTTATTAATTAAGTGATATGAAGTTTGGTTGTGTGGATAAAATATATTTACACAAATAGAACAACGCTCACAAAATACTTGTGATGAATTAGAAAGTACTGTTTTAAATATCCTGTGTCATTGGTGTTCGTTTATCAAATTATAATAGGTATTACTTGTTGATACACTTCAACAAAATATTCTAAAAGCAGAAACTTGAAAGCATCGACCTAAGCGTTCAAACGTTCATTTGATTTGATTTGGAAACAGTCGTACAATTTTTAGGCTCATTTATCAATTGTAAACTTGATTATCAATTGACATGATATTTGTGATAAAATAACGTTACGCTATATAGACATATATATATATTTGTTTGTTTTTCTTGTTGCTGTTTTTTACTTTTCTTTTAATTTAACTATTACAGTTTTTGAATAAAAAATATCTCAAACATAGCATTTCAAAGCTATCTTTTATCGTCCATACGTCATTGACCAGGAGGCCTTCAATAACAAACCTCGTCAGTTCAACTGGATAATGAGAGAGAAAAGTTTATTTGAAATGTTAGTTATAAATACAGTATATAAACTTGAAAGTGCGGCTTTGAATGCCGAAAGGTGGTAAAACATTGTATATCAATAGAACTAATAGTCATGATGCAAAGTCACGTTACATTGCAGAGGAAAGTTTTAATTTTTCTCTTGATTTGTACATTACATGTTTCTATAAAAGGTATGTTGACGATACCTTTGTTACATTTCGTTCTAAAAAGCGTGTACCTAAATTTCTAAAATATTCAAGACCTTGCCACCCCAACATCAATGTTACTTGTGAAACAACCATAGCCTGTCTTTCTTAGACATCCTTATAAACCGTGATGCTAATGGTTTTCAACGTCAACTTACCACAAGAAAACCTTCACTAGCCTCTCTATCCACTTCTACAGCTACTATCCCTCTAACTAAAAACGTAATCTGACCACTTGTTTACTTAATGGAGCTTTTAACATTTTTTCTTCTTGCACAATGAAATACATTTTTACATCTTTTTCTTTAAAAAAAAGGCTATCCCAGGCCTTTTCTTGAAATCATCACTCGTGAATTTTTGAATATGAAACTCATTCTCCTTGGCAATACTAAACAGATGACTGTACCTAAATGTCCTGTATATATAGTTCTTCCTTACTTAGGTAAACATAACTTACTTCTTAAAAATCAGCTGTAAAAATGGTTAGATAAGTACTATACATAAATTCAACTGAGAATCAGATTAAACATTTTTTGTATATGAAACACTACATTCCGACCCCAGTTCGTTCATAGATCATTTTCTCATGTACGTGTAGTAGTTGCAAAACTACCTAAATTGTAAAAACCAAATGCCATTTAACTTTTCGTATCTATGAATATATGGGGATTTGTTATAGAACCGGTCACCCTATTTCACTTCCCTGCATCTCCTATCTTCACATAGAACCGGTCACCCTATTTCACTTCTCTGCATCTCATATCTTCACATACACAGTCAAATTACAAGACACAAAATATCATCAACGGACATAAGTTTTAGCTACGGTTGCAAAGACTTGGAAATTCTGATTAAAGAAAGTTCACTTATTAAATAAAATATCCCCAGCTTATATAATAACTCAACTTTTGTCGAGTTCAGCTTATTTTAGTGGTTCTATATTATATTCAACTATATATATATTTATATTATATAAAACCAAAATTCACCGCAAAAACACACACACTGGTCTCTACATCTCCTGGAATTCCGCTCATGACACCACACAAAAAATCAATACACTTAAAAACCTCATAAACACAGCCACAAGACTCTGTTCAACGGACTACATAAATGAAGAAATTAACCATTCCTTTATTCACACCAATAAATTCCCACCAGCTATAGTTGAAAACTCTCCAACATTCCCCACAATAAAACTCAACTCACGAACAAAATCGACACTAACAAACCCAATAACAGTACATTACACTGCAGTTTACCTTTTGTTCCTGAAACCAGCTCAAGAATTATCCACACTTGGACTAAACTAGCCAGT